CACAGTTGGCAAGTTCAAGCCCCACACCAGGCTCTGTGCTGACAGCTCGGAGCCTGGAGCCTGCTTCGGATTCTGTGTCTCCCCCTCTCTCTCAGCCTCTCCCCTGCTTGTGCTCTGGCTGTCTCTGTCTGTCTTTCAAAGATAAATAAACATTAAAAAAAAACTTATAATCTTCTCTAAAAGATTCACTAAATGTTTGTAATTCAAGGAAATAGTCACCCAATATTTTTTGTTTGTTTGTTTTATCATGTTTTGTCACATAATAATTACTTCTGATTGTTACTTCAAATTGGTTATCAAATCGATAGGTGTTTGGGACTAGTTACAGATGATTGATTTTCTGGATCATCTTCTCACATGCTAAACTTAAAAAAAAAAATGTTTATTTATTTTGAGAGAGAGGGGGAGAGAGAGGGAATCCCAAGCAGGCTCCATGCTGTTAGCACAGAGCCCGACGCAGGGCTCAATCTCACGAACCATGAGATCATGACCTGAGCCAAAACTAAGAGTCAGATGTTCACCCTTGGAGCCAGCCAGGCACCCCCATGCTAAGCTTTTAATTTTGAGTCTTTAATTTTTGATTCACTATGGGGTGTACTTAAGGACAAGATATCGGTCATTAAAAACACACTGAAATGTAAATACCCCTTAGCCCTAGAACAGCAGAGAAATTTGCTATCAGCCTAAATTTTGACTCTTTGTCGAAACTTACTTCCTTATTAGATTGTGGTGAGATTCCTTTCTTCTTAGGACTCAAAGATTCTATCAGAACATATTTAGGCATTTTATTAATCTCCCTGGCATGTGGAAAATCCTTTTAACCTGCGTATTCAGATCCTGTTTAATCCACGGAGATGCCTCTTCTGTGAGTTTTGGAGATCATTCTGGTCCCGGCACTCTGGTTTCCCTGTGAGAAGTTCTTATGTCCTCGAAAGGGACACTCCCCGCCCCTTCCTGTCGCCTCTGTGGCACCTTCCTCTGCCTTCTGGGAGAGCTTCCCCAGGTTTGCTCAGTTTCTCCTAGTCGGATTTCTCTCACTTTCAGCTTTGGTTTCCCTGCAGTCTTTCACCTCCTCCCCTCCATCTCACCCTGTATTTTTAGGGCTCCGTTCTGCCTTCACGTTTTCCATGTGATCCCCCCTTTCCTTCCTTTGCGTTGCTTGATGACTCCACCTCAGGAAGGAGACATCCACCCACGCAATCTGGCAGCAGATGCGGCTGGGGGTTATTTTTGACTCTGAACTTTTGGGTGCTGCTTGAACCTTCTCCGATGAAATCGGAAGACAGAATCTAAACCGAATCCATCGTGCCTCTCTCTGCTGGCTGAGTTGAGAGTTTTCTTCTTTTCTTCTGCCTTCTTTCGAATTTTTTTTTTTTTTTGACATCTAAGTCAACAGGTGTCCATGAAAAGTCATGATTGTCTGCGACACCGAAGTAGCAAAGGTTTGACTTCCCACGTTTCTGGCTGGTACGAGCGTGGTGTTCCCGAGGAAGGATAAGACACTGGGGAGCAGGATTATGTCCTCCTTCTGCTCGGCGACCGCTGTCTCATGGAGGGAAGCAAAGGTGGGCAAGCCATTGTGTGGTTTCACACACCTCCGTCGATGTACGGATGCTGGAGATTTTCAGCACTCACTCCGGTGGTATTGTGATTTTGCGTCTTTTTTGTGTCTTTACAGGCACGTTGACACAAAGTTGGTAAAGACCTCCTCACATTTGCCAAGCAGATGCCTCTGTGTGCTGGAAATCTCCATGGGCTCATGCCGTCCACACTGCTGAGGCCCTATGTGTGTGCCATACGGTCCAACCCTCATAACCAACAGTAGCTTGACAGAGCCATGACCTTGGACCTTGACACTAGCCCTACAGTCAGAATCTACCCATTTCTCCTGCATATAACGGTCAGGCAAACAGCTTTAAAGTTAGAGGAAAATGGAAAATATATAAGGAACCAGGAGAACCTTTCTACTTATGGGTCTCTTCTTAGGGAAAGTTTCAGAAATGGGCAAACATTGTGTTTTCCTTTCCATTAACATATGGTGTCGCTATGAACCTCACGAAGCAAATAGTCATTCTTTCTAGAGTACCGCTTCTTCGTGAGGCTCTGCATCTCCTCGCCAGATGCTGCCAGCCTTTAAATTGCCCGTCCTGAGCAATGCTTTATCTTTACGACTTGACTTGATTTTTTAAAATACCCTGAGCTTATCTGGCATGAAGCCTAGTCATGGATACAATTCATGGGATTAGGAAACGTTGGTTCGAGACGAGATGTTGCTGTACAAGTAATGAGACTGCTGTGTGTGGTTCTGAGGGACACTCGGGCGGAAGGCTCCCAAGTGTTTGATGGACAGCAACACGATGGGAGATCCTGGAATTGCCAAAACGTGAAGAAGCACCACTTCCTTCTAGAAAGATATGTTATAGCATCTTTCTAGTGTCTTTAATAATTGTTTCAAGAGTTCTAAAAAATATTTCTCATTGCATTTCATCACCATACAATCTCAAAGGGTGCCCTCAGTTTGTTTGAAATTCATATCATACCAATGAGGAGCTGAGGATTCAAGTTCCATGTGCAGTGAGGTGTGGGAGCAAAGCCCTCAGGCATCTCTGAGGGACGCTGCACCTGCTCATTGGTCGGGGCCCCCGTGAGAATCCACACGACGCGGCAAAGCGGGCCCACGTGTAACTGACCTCATCTGCAGTGCAGTTATTTCTCCCTTTCTATGACATGTCTCGTATTACAAACTGGGAAATTAAAGGGAAAGACCTTCAGACTTGGCCTTTATGAAGATTGTTGGTGCAAAAGAACATCACAAAACCTAGAAAGACACATAATAGGACGCATGAATGTGTCCAACAAACGGAAACAAGAATGGGGTCCTCCCTCATTAGTACGGAGGCCGTGGGGGAAAAAAAATAGTCATTCCAGGAGATCTGACTTTTTCTTCCTTGATTTCATCCAGATGAAGTATGTTTGCTCATCACTGTGACGTCGCACACACACCCTCAATGCAAATGTCTGCATCCAAAAGGCCCCACAGTCCAGGAAAACACGAGTTTGCCACATGCGTCCCATGGCCCTTCAAGCTAGCAGTTTCTCTCCACCTTCCGTCAAACAGGGACCAAAGGATCATTCATGTTATAATTTAAAAATAGGAAGTATTATATGGAGAGCAAGGGCTGAGCACAGACCCTGAGTTATTTTTTTTTAATTTTTTTAATGTTTATTTATTTTTGAGAGAGAGAGAGAGACAGAGCACAAGTGGAGGAGGGGGAGAGAGGGAGACACAGAATCCGAAGCAGGCTCTAGGCTCTGAGCCATCAGCCCAGAGCCCGACGCGGGGCTCGAACCCACGAACCATGAGATTGTGACCTGAGCCGAAGTTGAACACTTAACCCACTGAGCCACCCCGGTGCCCCGACCCTGAGTTGTTTTTAAGCGCCAAGCTAAATAAATGTTTTCATGCCTACAAACATCTGGGGAGACGATCAAACCTAGCATTACAAGTCGGCTCCGGCATCCACAGAGGACTTGCCAAAAGGCCACGCTCCCCCCTCAGAGCAGGAGCCTGACCCCGTCGGGGGAGCGGGCAGATCCTATAAACACACAGAGCCAGGTCCCCGAGGCCCATGGGCCTGCTGAGCAGATGGTAGGAACAGAGACAGCCCTATTTCCAAAACCACAGCAAATTGAGAAGGTTGAAAATCATGAAGTTGGATTATGCCTGAATGACATCCTCACCAGCCATGTCCCCAGGAGATTGGCCAAGGCTTTGATGGGCAGTCCCCGGGCCTCCCCTCTCCCCGACGCAGAAGGTACCGGCCTGAGCCAGCTCTTGACTTAGGTTAAGTTATTAAAAGTTTTGATTGACAGGTGGATTCGAGAAATAGGGGACACAGCAATTCAATCTCCTGGTTAAACCAAAGCTTAGATGAAGACATCTGGTTCTTTAAGCCTTTCTGTTGAAAATAATCATCGGAGGTACTAAGGTCCGTTTTGAGCTTGCTGGGAATTGTCTCCTGAATGTGCTGGAGCCTTTAGTGATAAAGGACCTTGTGAGGCCACAAAGTAATCATTCCTAACAATAGATCTCATTATAGATATAGATGGGGTAGGTGATAGAACAAAGGTTAGCTGGCCTCTAGAACATTCTGGGAACTCACCTAGGGATAGTCTCTTTGCACTTGTTTTCTTCTTTTTCTCAAATGTATAGTTTCCCCCCTAAGACTCCCAGTTTTGAAGGACTCTGGGTGAATTGGTGAGTGAATTAATTGCTGAAAGCCCCAGCACCCCTTGTGCTAAGTACAGGGTAACCTAGAACAGTGTGACGTTTTCAGGTTTGGGTAAAAGCAGGCGTGTGACATCTAGGGTATCCAACCAAATCTGCCTGATGCCCAGGGCCCTGAACCAATTTCCCTAATTAGCTGGCGAACGTCCCTGGGTGTTTTGCCTTCCCAGGAAAGGGAAGGGACACACAGAGCCTTCCTCTGCGTGGCCCCGGGGTTTTTATAGCATGTGAGGCGCCGTGAGCGCCTGTCTCTCCAAGCGCTTCCTGGTGCTCGCTCTGCCAGCCGCTCGTGTGACCTCCTTCTCCGTCCTGTGAGCTGCAGTGGCGCGTTGGCCTGGGCTGTGGCTTGAAACCCAAGCCAGTAGGTCAGCACTAGCTGCAGCGTGACGCGTAAGACCCGCGGAGCAGAAGCCACACGCTTCCCCCTCCGGGAGTCGTTGCGCCGCGCGCACTTTATCCGCAACCCTGGAGGGAGCAGCTGAGAAGGAACCGCGCTGTGTGGCTTACTTGGGCACGTCAGTGCCTTGGCTGTGCCCGCCACAGTTCGCGATCCGAGCACCTTCTTGAGAAACCCCATTTCAGGACCTCCCGGGACGAGTCCAGCCCGACAGGCCCCGGCCCTCGCCCCGGCGTCCAGGGCTGGGCTGCGCCCGTCTCCTGGCTCCCACGGCCCCCGCAACGCTGCCAACCCCGTGTGTTTGCGTGTTTGCAGGGAGTACTACATCACCATGGTGAAGTGGGCCACCAGCACCAAGGTCGCGGTGAACTGGCTGAGCCGGGCGCAGAACGTGTCCCTTCTCACCCTCTGCGACGCCACCACCGGGGTCTGCACAAAGGTACGGGGAGGGAGGGGACAGGGGCCGATGGCAGGAAGGACGGGAGGCGGAAGGGAGGCGGCATTCCGGGGCGTCTGGGTCACCGTCCACAGACTGGCCGGAACCCGCCTGCTGGCCTCTGTTTTGGTGCCACCGTGTGGATGGATTGTGTACTGCCGCAGAAGTCAAGGCTGAGCCCTCGGCGACCGCAGGGGTCGCGTCCTCAGACCTGCATGAGCTCCACAGCCCGTGATGTGTCAACCCCCTTTATCTGCGCCCACCGCATGCCCGGGACGAGCCTTCTCTTCATTTTCCAGTTGATATCAGAGAGGGGGAGGGGCAGCCTGAGCCCCCAGGACACGGGTGGAGCCGGCCCTGCCACCTGGCTTGCCTTGCCCACTTCCGGCGCACCTGGGGCCGGCGGCCCCTGGGGGGCCGCATCCGTCCGGGAAGGTCACCGGTGAGCCCAGCTGTGTTCCTGGGGGCTCGGGCTGACTTAATGTGTAGTTAGAGGAGGTGAACGTAGGGACGATACCATGGAAAGTACCAGAGGGAAGCGAACAAAGAATGAAAATGCAAGCCGAGGGGCGGCCGAGGACACACCCTCCAGCCCGTGGGCGTGAGGCCTCCACACTTCCACGTGAGCCCGAAGAGGCACACCCCCTCGTGCTAGGTGAGAAAAGGTCAATTACACTCCACGAATAATGCCCAGCAGGTCTTCCGGAAACTCCTTTTGGCCCCTAAGTTTTTATTCCCCAGCCGGGGAGGGAGAGGGCTTGTAGAGCAGGTTCACCGCGGCCTGGGAGGCCCGGAGGCATCTCGCCGCACCGCCTTTTCCAGGTGCACAGAGTGATCTGTTACCGAGACAGACGTCCCCACGTCTGTGAGTCACCTGAGAGCGGACTCCAGGTGATCCGGTAGGCATATCGAGGGGGAGGAGGGAAGGAAGGAGCAGATGCAGAGCCAGGAAGCTGGGAATGGTTGCTGATCTACACCTGCTCTCACCTCCGCCCCGACGCGTGCGAGTCCGTCATGAGACTCCCTGCTGCCGACCGTACAGGACTTGGGGCTAGAGAACCCCTCCCTGGGCGTCCGGAGGCCGGACCAGCACCGGGAGCAGGCCCACGGCGTAGCTGGAATACTGGTGTTTTTTGTTCTCTTTGGTCTTCCGTTATGCATCTTTCCACACGGTTCTGGGAGATTTACTTTTCGCTCCCGGGGTTGTTATTCAGGGCTGTGGCTTGAGAAACGTCCACACACCTGCACACTCACAAGGCCCTACAACAAGGCAGCACTTCCGAGCAGGCCCACGCGTGGACTGACGGCCAAATATGGCAGAAGTACGCCATCTTCCACCGGATTCCCGCCCACCATGGGTTTGTCCCCGTTGCCGGGGAGGGCGACGTTTTTCTTGTTCGGGGACACGAGTGTTTGGCGGTGAGCCACAACGGCGGGCCGGGATGCCTCCTCCCTGGGCGGGCCACGGCTCTGTGTGCCTGTGCAGCGACCGTGGAGGGGAATCAAATTGTTTCTGCGCTGTTGGTCACAGACACAAACCATGCAAAAACATCCTTTGTCTAATGCTCTTATTTCATTTCAGAAACACGAGGACGAAAGCGAAGCCTGGCTCCACAGACAGGTAGCTACTGCACGTTTGCCTTGTCTTTTGTCTGCACCCGCCCCCAGATGCGCCACCACGGCGCTCTCCGAGTTTTCACAACACGATGGCTTCTCAAGCATTCAGTCCCTCAGTAGCCCCGCAGAGGTTTCCGGCCCTGGTGGGTGGTGGGGGCTGCTCGGCCGGCTCCTCCTTGCTCCCCGTGGCCCTTGTGCATGACTGGAGAGTCACAGAACCAAGGAAGAAAGACAGTTTGAAAACCACGGCTCTTGAGAACGTACGGGGCTTGGTGAGAACTCCGTTCTGCTAGATTGATGTCCTTGTGGCGAATTACAAGGAGTCCATAAACGCTGCCTCAACGTACTCTCTAAAACAGGTTGGTAGCCGTACATCTCTCCTCATGATTCTGTGGCTGTCCCGTTGGAGGCGCACCGTGCTGGGGTTCGGCGTGAGCTTTCACGGGAACCTGGCCTTCGGAGCCACCCCCGGCTTCCCGTCCTTACTCGGGCAAGAAGTACACGTTCAACAGGCTCCAGGGTCTTGAGGTTTGAGGAGGTCGGGAGAGGCCGACGGGGACTCCCACTTCTGCAGCCAAAAACATTAAACTCCCGCAGAAAGCAAAGCTCTCAGGGCTGGTGTTTTGTCTCACTCCACACCCTGGCAAAGAACAGGTGAGAGTTTTGGAGGCTTCCTTCCTTCCTATCCAGCCTGCTGGGATGAAAGCAGTCTGAACATTTGTGGGGAAAATCACACCAGATTGGAGTCTCGAGAATCGGGGTGAAGCGAGTGCCAACAGAATCCGGGGACAGAATAACGGTGGCTGGACGCGGACCCACGGGCGGGACTTCCCTAGCGGAGGAGTCAGCTGTCCGTCCCAGCCTCCCATCGGTTACGTCCAAGGCGGCAACCTCATACACGGGCACACAAGCACACTCACTTTGAAATACTCCTCCTCGCCGGTCTTTTCCGAAAGAGGAATCGCCCGAATGCCCGATCTTGTTGCCTGTGTGTGAGCGTGGGTGCCACATCCAAGCTAAGAAAACTCCAAGAAAGAGAGCGTGCTTGGAGGACCCCGAAACGTGAGCTGGGAGGTCATGCTGTGAAGTTGCCGACAGCCCCCCTGGACCAGTGACAGGAGCGCAGATAGCAAACACACGTGCTGGTGCCCCTCTTGTAGCAGACAGAACGTCAGACAGCTTGACGTGAAAGCGAAGAAAAGCCATCATCTGTGTGGTCGTCTGATCGGCCAGTACCTTACAGATCAGACCAGACAGCGCCTAGGCTCCGTGGATCTCAAAACTGAACCAGCGACTTCTCCCAAGCCCTTGTCCGGCGGGTGTGGGGACGACCTTCCTTCTTGTAGCTGAACGACATTCCACTGTACGGACAGACCGCGGCTTGTTTATCTGTTGATGGGCATTGGGTTGTTTCTGCCCTTTGGCTGTCTTGAGCAGTGCGGCAAGAACCTTCTGCGGGGAGCCCAGAGCCAGACAAAGAGGCCGCCCGTTGTGTGATTCCATTAACACAAAATGTCCTGAATAAATGAGTTCACAGAAAGGGACGGCTGTTTGCTGGCTCCCCGGGCCGGGGGAGGGCGCTGGGGAGCAAATTTATGTGAATTTCACCCCAGTACTGTTTTTAAAAAAACAAACAACAAAAACCCAAATGGAAATGAATCCTCTAGAACAGCAGCTCTCAAGGATTCACGGGGTAGGAAGGTTGATGAGAGGCGGGCATGAATCCCACGTGTGGTAAATGGAAGTAACCCTAAGATATGTTCAGAAGACACGGACAGGTGTTTGGCTGTGGGTGGGGCTGGAGCACTGGCTGGGGGTCCTCGAGGTCTGGAGGCCAAGAGGCCGCCCGCTTTGCTGGTCTCTTCATCGCGGAGACGCCATCATCACCAGGATCTTTCTGTATTTATCAGCCTTGCAGCTCGTGGCCCACCTGAGAACACCAGCCACGCTCCAGACAGACAGCCTGGGTGGCCTTGGGACAGCGGCTCTCTCCACGCAAAATCAAGTCGGCACTCAAAGCCACGTGGAGAATCACACTTTTACAATGCAGACTTGAAGGCATTTACCGAGCAAACCGCTAACATTTTTTAAACAGCCATTGAGAAATGTGTCGTGCCGTCTTGAGTTTAAGACGGCAGGTCCTATAGAGGACCTGTTCCAAGGTGGTGCTTTCCCCGCTCAGGGCCGGCGAGCGGCCCTGCCTGGGGAGTGTAGGGAGGCCCTGCTTTCTCTGGGTACCACTCCTCAGGCATCATGAACACAGCGCTCCAGGGCCAGTAGAAAGGTCTAGCTTCACCAGTTTCTTATGACATTCAAAGAGATTTTTCACAAAGGGATCCGTGGACCCTGTTTTTCACACCCTTCAGGATATCACGAGGTCCTGGAGGGCAAGTTAGGAACCACCCAGTTCTCCTAGGAATATTCCAGAAGAATAGGCAGCTCCCCCGTGATGCATACACTCCATCACCACCACCCGTGACCTTGCAACGTCTGTCCTGATGTGGATCCACGGGGATTCGGTGTAGAGCCCTGGACCCCGTCCTCTGGCTGAAGATGCATCCTGTAGGCCGACATCAGACAGTCTTTCTTCCTTTACCAGAATTTTGGTTTTGTGATTTCAAACTCCAGGCTGGGAGATTGGACAAGGGGCGTGTCCGGAACCACTCTCTGGAAAGAATTGGCAGGTGTGGTACCAACATTTCACAAAGACTCTCTCACCAGTAGAAAGGGCTCCTTCTTCACGGATCCTCTGCGAGTGGCATGGAGGTGGGGAGAGGGGGCATCGTGTGTGGCAGATTCCCTGTTACCGAGAGAGACCGGAGAGCTTCCCCCAGAAGCCCTGAGTGTCAGCACTGACATCCGGGTCTCCTCCTCAAAAACCATTGCACTCTCCTACCAGGAATACATTTACTGCCCCAGAAAGCGGGTCTCAGGCTGAGGGCAGGTGCACCGTGCTCCCTGATGAATGTAAAGGTGACATGGAAATGATGAGGGCCCCCTCAGTATGAAAGCAAAGCGTCTGGCCGGAATTAATTATTTATTACCTTTATTCAGAGTATTTTTCTCTGCCAAAAGTGCAAACACTTCCCCAGAAAACGGAGGCAATATTGCAGTATCCGCCCTGGGGCTTGGCAAATAAAAGTACATTTAAAAAGCCAGAGTCCCCACTCACTTTCCCATTGCCCCTGCTTCTAAATACCACGCTGCCAGCTCTAAATAGAAAAATAAATATTTGCAGATTAAAGGTTTCATTTTATTGCAAATATTCATGAAGATTAAATGTCATTTTAATCACATGTTAGTTTATTTCTCCGGGCGCATCACGCTGGCGTCTCCTCGCTCACTGCGGGGAAATGTGCGTTCCTGGCACCAGCTGGGGCCTATTTACCATTTGTTCTCGGCCGCGTGAGCGTGCGGCTCCTTGAATCAGAAAATATAGATCGTCGCCGACTAATTGGTGTTCACGGATGGAAACTTCCAAGCCGGAGCCGCAGAGATGCTGAGATGCCGCTGTAGCAAAATGCCTTTTCCCCCATCGGGGAGGTGGCCCGACCCCGGGGCCGTGGCCGCTCAGCTCTGGGGGTGCCGGGCAGGGATAGGGCAACACACTTCAGGCCTCGGCTTTGAATCCAGCCGAGAATTCCTTCCCCGGGGGAGAGCTGGGAATGCCCATTCCTCTCCGAGGAGAAGTGGCAAGAGACCCCAGCAAACGGGCCATCCGGCAAATGCCCGTGTGGCACGCTCTTCTGGTTCAAGGTTCCTGGAAGGAACGTTTCCTGCACCTGCACCTTAGAATGAATAAAATGTGTCCTTGTTTGCTGTTCTGTTCTCTTTTTACTTGTCTCCCTGGCGGGCTATTCCGTGTTCTTTACTAAATTAAAGAACAAAAGACGAGACCGAACGTGGTAGAATTCGTTTTCAGGCACAAACTTGTGAGTGTTCGGGGTTCGCTTCTTCAAGGTGGAGGCGGGTGTGCCTGGACAGGTGCTGCCCTGGGCTCTGCTCTCACGGAGCCGCGGTGAGAGGGGCAGGTGCCCCGGGCGCTCTCCGTGCAGAGGTCCTGCCCCGCCTGGGGGCCTGCGACAAGCCCGCTCCGCGCTCGGCGCCTTCCTGAAGGCTCTGCTGAATTCCTCATTGTTCCTCGGGAAACAGAAGCTTTGACTCGTGCTTCCCAAGGAGAGGAGAGGCCCCACTCACTGTTGATTCTTTCCACCGCACCCCCCATTACAAACGGCAGAGGAGATGGCTCTCAGGATGTATCGTCTGTGGTAGACCTTTTCCACACACAACAAAGCCTTTTCACACTCTGCTTTTGTCCGTAGAACGAGGAGCCGGTGTTCTCCAAGGACGGCCGGAAGTTCTTCTTCGTCAGAGCCATCCCACAGGGGGGACAAGGGAAATTCTATCACATCACCGTCTCGTCGTCCCAGGTAATCCCGACCGTTTCTAAAACTTCCCGCTGTGCTGGTGACAGCCCCTAGTGGGGACCACTCTGTGTGCCCTGATCATCTGCAAGGTCCCCAGAGAGCTCGGGTCCTTGAACTGGGAGGTGGTTTCCCCAAGGTGGGGCAGAATGGGGCTCTCGCAAAGCCCAGGGCTTGAGACGCTGGGTCGCACGTGTGCCCTTTCTGTTACGGCTCGAAAATGCGATGACACTTCGGGCCCCTGGGTGACTCAGTCGGTTAAACGTCCGACTTCAGCTCAGGTCACGATCTCACAATTCGTGGGTTCAAGCCTCGCATCCGGCTCTGTGCTGACAGCTCGGAGCCTGGAGCCCATTTCAGATTCTGTGTCTCCCTCTCTCTCTGCCCCTCCTCCACTCACGCTCGGTCTTTCTCTCTCAGACATAAACATTAAAAAAAATTTTTTTTAAATAACCCTTCTGACAGTAGCATAGGGGGCTGTGGGACCCGGTGTCGGGGATGAGCCCTGGGACTCGGGTCTGCTACTTTGTAGACGATCCTGTGCCCTCGACCCTCCCTCCCCGTCTGTTGCGCTGTCCCCGACCCTCTCTCCCAGGGACACGGGTCTCCCAGGGACAGGGGTCTAGTGCCTCACGGTGCAGTGTCCTAGGACATGCTGTCTTTGAGCCCGGTGTAGGCTCTATGCCATTACTCTGCTCCCACCTGCTGCCACTCACCTGATTCTGGGGTCTGGTGGCTTAGGAGCAGGGCATCGCTGAGCTTAATGTACGCGGAGTTAGAACCGGAAGCAGAGATCTTGGTGAACGCTGTTTGTTGCAGACCTGTCACCCCAGGAAGCTCAGGGCACTGAGTGTTTGGGGAGGGCTGCCTTTAGGAAGAAGGTGCAGAGAGGGCGTGGCATTTCTGTGACCATGACCCTCATCTTCCGAGCGTGGATTCCATTTCTGAGAGAGCTTAAGTTATTTGGGGCCCAGGATAGGTGAATTAAAATTTGGTTTTAAACAGTTATCAAAAATATCCTGTAGCTACTAATAGAAGACTCCTATTTAGGATTTGGGCCAAAAGACAATTTCAAAAGAACATGCTGAGGACGCCCCACTTAAGGGCAGGTGTGACACAGGGAACAGTAGCGGAGACCCAGCAGTGACCGTGGGGGGCCTGGTTCCCCGGGGCAAGGCTGCAGGGGCCTGAGTCTCCAGCCCAAGTGACCGCATGACTGACGGTGACTGCTCTCTGGCCGACTTTCCGTTGGTCACTGTGGCACCAGAGTCCTGTTTCCACATTTTGGATCACATTAACCTAGATCAAAAACGTTTATGTGTTGGGGCGCCTGGGTGGCGCAGTCGGTTAGGCGTCCGACTTCAGCCAAAGATCCGCGATCTCGCGGTCCGTGAAGTTGAGCCTTGTTGTCGGGCGCTGGGCTGATAGCTCCAGAGCCCATAGACCTGTTTCGATTCTGTCTCCCTCTCTCTCTGCCCTCCCAGATTCATGCTCTGTCTCTCTCTGTCCCAAAAATAAATAAACGTTTGAAAAAATAAATAAATAAAAATTTATAAAAAAAAAAAAAAAAAATGTTTATGTGTTTGCATGTGTGTGATGAATTCATGCACAGAGTGCCCTGTTATCCCTGCAGGAAGCAGGCCCGCCTTCATCCAGGAGAGCACCCCCCTGGCCAGGAGCCCCTCAGGCCACCCCTAATCGTCAGAATCCCCCGCACCCCCGCTTCCCTGCTCCCCGCAGGCTCTCCCTTCCCCTGAGACCCCCATGGGCTCTGCCTGACAGACATCAGATTCCTGCCTCCCTGAGCACCTGCCCTCCAGCACAGCTGGCCGGTGCCTCACCCTGCACCTCCACACCGCGTTCCAGATCACGTCGTTCCTGTCGCGATGGCCGCACCTCCCTCCATTACGGTGTATTGTCAGAATTATTCCACATTGGGAGGCACTTAGGGAGAGAGAGGGATTCGAACCGTCCTTGTAAATGATGGCAGAGAATGACAGACGTGTCTCCTCCCTCCCTCCTTCCCTTCCTCTCTCCTTCCTGTCTTCCCCCTCTCTTCCTGCCTTCCTTCCCCTCTCCCTTCCCCTCTTCCTTCTTTTCTTCTTTCGTCTCTTCCTCCCTCCTTCCCTCCTCCCTCCCCTCCGTCTATTTCCTTGTCCTGTTTCATACCCCCCCATATTCCTCTTTCCTCCCTCCCAGCCTTCCTGTAGTAATGACTCTGCTAATGAGATTCACAAATTTTACAAAACAGCATCAACAGCATGTGCACAGTGGCCATCGCTGCCTCTAGTGACACCCATGTGTCATGGTTGGTGGCCCCGGCCGTCATGGCACCAGGTGACAAGTACCACGGACGTGGACTCTGGAGGAGGGGGAGGGCTAGGACCTGGGGGTGTCAGCCGAGGCTTTGTGGACGGGCTGGATGCAAACCCCGGTCAGAGGAGAGGACTTGGGGGGGTGGGGACCCCACGGAGGGGCTCGGGCTCACCAGCTCTGCCATGTCCTGTCTGTGTTCCAGCCCAACAGCAGCAACGACAACATTCAGTCCATCACATCTGGAGACTGGGACGTCACCAAGATCCTGTCCTACGACGAGAAGCGGAACAAGATGTAAGTGGGGCGGGCCGCGGGGCCGGCAAGACCCTGGCGAAACGCGGCCCTTACTTCCGGTCAGACGACACTCACTAGGTTCTGTCTCCCAGCGGCCCCACCTCCAAAGTTGCCAGACACTGAGCAGAGGAAGCTGAGCGGCCGGCCCTGCGGGGTGACACAGGGGGACAGGCGGTGGCAGGACGGGTCTGTACTCCTTGTGAGCTCCAGGCCCCGTGCGGGGCGCGTTGTGACCGTTCTGTCCTTCGGCTCAGCAGTCCGGGGGAGGGAGGGGGGTCACTGCTTTCCCCGCTCCTAATGTAAATAAGCCGACACACAGAGCGGTTGAGTCGTTGACTGCGGCTTATCCAGACGGTGACAGGGAGCCAGGATTCAGCTCCGACGGTGGAGGCCAGGCCCGGGTGCCCGCGCTCCAGTGGCAGACGAACGCCACTGCCCCAGGCTTTACGTCTGGACTGGTGTCGAGGGTGCTCGGGTCCCGGCCCTC